TTTTAGGGTGTACGTAGTCTAGCAGTTGTACCATGCACATCTTTTTCTTTCACAATCCTCCTCCAACAGCAGGAGATTACTAGTCTCTCAAGGACTGTGTGATTCATGGTAGTGATCACTTTCAATTGAAGGTACTGGAGCAACAGCTCCTTTTTTACTGCCTGAGAGGCCAGCTGATCTCTTACAAAAGGGGAAACTTTGCTAAACAAAGGAAGTAATTTTAAAAGAAGGAAATAACATCTGTCTGCAGATATGTGAAGAGGGAAAGAAGAAATGTGAAAATGTAGATGGTGGGGAAAAATATTTAAAGTTTGAAAAGCTGAAAAGAAAGTCCATGTGGGATCAGAGGCAGCACATTCAAGTGGCATCTCTCTAAACGTAGAGATGTAATAGGAGAAAGTATTGGTAAGCGAGTGTATAAAATGAAGCATAGGAAAACAGTATAAAACCCCCAAAACGAATTTAGAGAGAGATTAAGAGACTGCTGCGCTATCCCATTGCCAGCAGAGGTGCTAAAGCCACAGCTATGGAATAGAGTAGCAAAATGCTCAAGAGAAGAAATAATTCCTGTATTTAGATAGGTAGAGTATTTCACAATATGAACAATAGTACACCGCAGCTACCTAGAAGGCGTCTGTTTAGAAATTAATTTCTATTTGAATCTGTAGTTGAAAATAAAAAGAACTCCATCAAGAGGCAGAAGATGTTCCCTGGAAAAGCACTTCAACCAGCCTGGGAACAGCACAAGATACTTCTGGCCGTGCTGCAGCCAGAGAACAAGGAGACCAGCAGGTACCAGTCTACAGCTGGGGCACAATAAAACCCTTCTACAAGATGAGCCAAGAATAATCTTCTTTAAAAGTGCTTTACTACTTGCAAATGTTGTTGCTCTTGTTCAAGTGTTTTGTATTTGCTTCAGTGCAGTTCCATTTTTCTTTTGAGAGAATTAGGGGCTTATTTTAAACCAAAGGGGATTTCTGGGAGCTCTTTGGGTTTTTAAATTATACAAATGATAGCGCTGTGATGTTGAATCTTATTATTAATTGTATATTTTGTTGTTCTTGTTTCTGAAGTATATGTGTGTAACAAAGTTTTTTATTTCTCAGTCCCTGAATACAATAAGTTTCAAAAAGTCCTCAGGCAGATTGCAAAATAATTTTTCTCAATTTTATTAATGTTAAAGAAAAGTATAATTTTAATACTGCAGAGTATTCTCTGCTGATAATTTTACAACATTGTGCGTGTACTGTGAATAGAAGAAACTTCACAAATTATTGTCCTTAAAGCTGGAGCCTTTTCTGTAAATTTTAGACAAAGTGTTCTATTAAGTGCCATCTATAAAATGCTTGATGACTTACCTCCTAGCCTGATTTGTGATTTTGCCAGCGCTTTTGAATACCTGGATGAAAAACTCTTTTTCTACAGGAAACTGGTAACTGAATAAATAACACTATAATCCAAGTATTGAACACTTCCATATAATAAGTGTTATTCTGCAATGGATTCCTCTTGCTGTAGCATAAAATGGAACTACTCTCTCCATAAATAAATAATACTCTGAATAAAAGGGGTTTACAAGCATCATACTTAATTTGTGTCTCAGCTGCCAATTTTTGCAGTGAATTCTACCAGTTTTCACACTGTGCCCATTACAAATGTAATTATCTTTGCATTAGAAGACATGTATTTCAGTGATGCAGAAAAATATATTTGTGTTTCATTCTTACGTTGGCAGAGTAAGAATACATCTGTCATGCAACATTCAACTCAATAAAATAAAAAAACCGAGTGAAAGTTATGTACAAGTTTTTTTTTTTACTGGACATTTGGGACATTTGGACATATGCATACTTATGTCCAAAATCTCAAATGTACACCTTATGCAGTCCATACCACTCTAAATCTGACTTGGATACAGGTAGTGCAACTGGTTTGCCAAATGATGGTGTCAGTGTCACATTCCTCCCCCAGGAGATGTTCAGACTATTTGCTATCTTTTTCCTGGGGAATGTGTAGCTTCAGCAAATAATTATTCTCCAGCTCTCATGAAACCTTTTTATTGGAGTCTTTCTCCAGGTACTTTTTGCAGCAATAGCATTGCAGGGAGGTAACAAGAACAGACTTAAGCATTTCTAATGCTGAATCATCTGTTTATGCATAATATTGATCTGAATGTCAAATTTACCTGGTCATTAGGAAGGGAAAGGGCCATCAGAATTATTCTGTGTGCATGCATATATTTCAGATTTAGATTGCAAATGTCCTGAAGAGGCTCTGCATTTGGCTCTGCATTGCCAAACAGTTGCAGAGAGCCATTGCTGTGGGGAATCACCCTCTGTTGATGTGACATTGAGAACCAAAGGGATTCTGCACTGAGAAGCCATCCACTGATTTTTGTATATTTTTGAGTAGTGGGCATTGCCCACAAAACCTCTTCTACCTTCAATGATTACAGTGGTCTGCTGGGTAGCTATAATTTTTTTCATCATTATAGTGAATGGTGATCCATTGGAATGCAAGATTGGCAAGATCTGGATTCCCAGGTTTCATTACTTCCCCTATGATATTTTCTCTAACATTGTTTAGATTAGTACAAATGTAATGAGCTCTGAATTCACTCATCATGTGCATACATGCCACATTGTTTAAGAAATTCATGCAGCTGCTTCCTATCTTGTACTGCCAGGGTGCCTGCACGGTGCTCTGCTGCTTTCCTACCTCTGAGTCCCTGCTCTCCAGGTGCACCACTGGTTATGTGCTCCTCTCTCAGATACCTACCCCGAAGGGGAGCTCACTTCTGCAGCCATTTTAGTCTTCCTTTTATTTTTAAAGGGCTGGGTAAGGGCTGTTCAGGTAATTTCTTATGCTGCTACCAGGTTTAGCATCTGGGAAAGAAAGGTCTATCTCTGTATATCTTGACATGCTGAAATTGTAAAGAAAAAATGGTATTTTTTCTTTAGAAGTTCATTGTTTCATATTGGAAATGCAAAATGGGGCCTATCAGCGATTACAGACACCTTTCACTTCTTTAGCAAAGAATTTCTATTTTAGAGCTGTTTCTGCCCTCTATGAAATACTCATGATAAGACTGAGTGATTATGGAATATAAGCTTATGCAAAAGGGCATTTTTTTATATTAATAAAAACTTCAAAAAATTATTTCTGTGTTCTAGTCCAGGACATTTGGTGCCTGAGTGTAGTGCAAGTTATTATAAAATAAATGCTTTGTTTTTATGTTACTTGTTTGGCTGTGGCTCTATCACAAAATAACAGGAGCTCTTTTCATCAAATATATGATTACTAGTTTAGATGTGTTCTTATTTAGTTTCTGTCTGGAAAGATGTTTGCTACATAAAAATACCCTTAAATTTAAACACATTTTTGGCTTTTTAATGAAAAAAAAAAATTAACTAATGTGGAACATCTAGTGCCAAAATATAGGAAATTTCTATTGCTGGACAATAGAAACAATAAATGGGCTGAGGACTTAAATCATCCGAGTAATCAATCCACTGGCTTTTATGAATGCTTAGGGAAAAAAGAAATATATTACTGGAAAAGAGGAAGAAATCTTGTTGCAGGATATGCAATGGCCAAATTTAGAAAAGACATTTGTATGGTAAATTCTCATGTATCATTGCAACTGACGGAGCAGAACAAATGAAAATAAGAAAACCAGGAAATAATACTTTTAACAAATAGATTTTGAAAAAACACCTTAGCGAGGAAAGAAAATGTATTCTGACTGTGATTGCTCTTCTGCTAAGAAGAGCAAGACTTTTGCTAAATATCTTCCTAATTTCAGTGACTATTCAGCAAGTCTAGCATGAGTTATATCCTTTCTTGGGAGAAGCATTGTTCATTACATGCCCTGATTTATGAGGGAGAATCAGCTGTATTTAGGTGATGGCTGGACTAGAGTGTAAAGTTTGTTTGTGCTTAATATACTAGATAAATTGTTCCTGGCTTCTTAGGGTGTGACTATACTTGCTGTCACACTCCCAAGTTTACTCAAGGACTGTGTGATTTGCTGAGTAGGTGTCATGTAAAGGAAAACCCAAAGCGATGGATTTTATATAGCTAATTTTTACCCCCCTAACTTCATGTTGACAAAAAACCTTTTTTGTCCCTTTTTCCTGCCCTTCATCAAAGTAAAGTCTCCTCAAGGCTAAAGGCAAATTTTAGCAGCAAGGAAAATGACCACCAATAATCTGAGCAGTATGAAATTTAACACAGTGATTTTGTTTTAATGAGAGGAAAACACCAGTTACCTGCTGTCAAAAAATTCTACGCTGAACCTTAACTTCATGGGCAGCAACTTTAAAATCTATTTAATATTCTTATTTCTTCAGTGAAACTTAATAACAGGCTGTGGGATTAAATCTTAACTTTACATATTTACTGGGAAAAGTAGTATAGCAATTTATGAGTAAAAATGTACTTTGAATAAATTATCATTGCAAATTACAGTTTATGAAAGTTGTGACTATAACCGTAATTACAGCATTGGCTGTGCAGAATTTGAAATCTTGCTTGCTGAATAAGTTTGTTTTCATTCAGATTGCACTCCCAACATTTTCAGAAAAGAGTGAATCAAGCCTCACTTACAAAATTTCCTACAGAGTTTATTAAAAAGCTCACCTTTGTTTGCTAAATTTGCCTAAAACATAAACTTTTCTTGAATTAGTAAGCTGCTATTTTAGTCTGCTATGAGAGTTTCCTGCTCAGGTTTAATAAACCATAGACTCATATGGAGACTCGCAAGAGCTTCCATATTATGCCATCTATATATCCTAAAATTGTTAAAGTTAAAATTGATTGTGCAAGCTATTACGAGAAAAACAGCCATTAGCCAAAAATAGGTATATCTCCGTAAATTGGAGAGACAGGGGGAGAGGTTTAAAGCTCTATCTGGCAAGAGAAGGGTTAAGGACTTTTTTGCTATACCCGTTTCAAATTACAATGAGAAGCCTCTTCTTTCCCAGCAGGGTTGTGCTTACATTAGTCTTTAGATCTCTCTTGAAGAGAGCTGTTATATTTGTGCCTGCTACAGTTGGAAATAACAGTTCAGAAGCTGAAAAGGGTTGAATGGATTTACAGAAGGTTATTTTTTGCAAGTAAATTCACGGCAACACATTAATTTGATTAGTACATGCTTTAGAATTACTTTACACTCAAGAGATTCAAAAGATGTTAAAGTTATCTCCAGGCTGCTGGACAAATATGTGTTATACCACCAAGGTACAGATCAAGACAAATCTGTGACTCAGGATTTTATCTTGGGAAGAGCGCAAGGTGTACGAAGAACTCAGAATAACGAGGGAAGATAACTCTGGGAACTACAATGTGTCAGAAGAACATCTCTTGCTAATACAGCTCCCCACCAAAGACCTGGTTATCTAAGGTTTATATAGGAATGCCTAGGTCAGCTGACAAAATACTGGTCTTCTGCTCCATAAATGCAGAAAAAACGATAACAACAGTGGAAAATTGGAAGTCTGAATTTCAGCTTTCTTAGAAATAACTGCAACCTGACACATTCCATAATATTTAAACAGGGTGGGGGGAGAGGAATCACCAAAGATGTTACGATGTTACGTTTAGAGATGACATTGACATGAAGAATAGGTAAATTTTGTTTTTCAACTACTGGGAAAGCAGACCTCATAGGAACTCAGAACAAGTAGGAGAAAAGTTGTTGTTTTTTTTTTTTTTCCTTGTTCTTTTTCTTTTCAAAGATGAACCTAACTGCGCTCAAAGCTTTCGTGGGCTTGCTCTGGAATTGCTGGGTTCTGGTGGGTCACGCACAGGGAGGTTTAGGAGACAATCATGTCCATTCAAGTTTTATTTACAGGAGGCTGCGGAACCATGAGAGAAGGGAGATTCAGAGAGAGATTCTCTCTATCCTGGGTTTACCTCACAGACCCAGACCATTTTCACCAGGAAAGCAGGCTTCTTCTGCACCCCTCTTCATGCTGGACCTGTATAATGCCATGACAAATGAAGAGGATTCTGAGGAGCTGGAGTATTCACTAAAGGGATCAATGGCAGGGGAGAGCAGAGGGATACGAAAAGGATACCCTGCCTCTCCAAATGGATATTCACGGAGAATACAATTATCTCGCATGACCCCCCTGACCACACAGAATCCTCCCTTAGCCAGCCTGCACGACACCAACTTTCTGAATGATGCTGACATGGTCATGAGCTTTGTCAATTTAGGTACGTGGAAATATTTTTTTGTTTTTGCTCTCTCTGACAAACTGTTAGCCTGCTCTTGTGAAGGGCAGACCTCTCGGCCGAACTGTAACCTGTTCTAAAACAGCAGGATTGAGCCCAGGCTGCTGTGCCACTAGTAAAAGAAAAATAATATGGATAGTAAAGTAGCTACATTGTAGGTGGCCATGGAAAAAGATTTTTCTCACTGTTTATATAAAGTCAGTTTCTATAACTTCCCTCTGCTGGCTTCTGTTTTCTTTCTTTCATTGATGTAATGAAAATTCTAGCCTTAGGCCAACTAACTCCTTTTTTTTAAATCTCTAAAAATCAAACACTTATGCCTATTGCTCAGTTATTTCCCTCAGTGTTTTCCTTAAAGCTTACACATGAACAAACATCAGTTGTTAATATTTTAAAGCCTAGAAAGTTATGAAAAGAGAAAATTTAAACTATTAAAAAATTCTTAAGTTATTTAGTTGGGTTTTTTTTTCTGTTGTTAAGAGTCAGAATTTTATTATCTTTTTAGTTGAATGGCTGGATTTTAAATAATCTGTTGCTGTTCCTTTGTTATTTCTATTTAATAACAACAGGCTGTGTTTTATTATACTGCTATGGTGCTCAGAATCTACAATGGTTCTTATTTTCTCTGTCATAAATAAATTAAATGACAAGTAGAGTATTAAACACCAGAAACATGCAAGCAAAGAATGCTTTTGAAAATTATATAAATTCAGATACAAAACCTGATAAAACTAAATTATATTGGCTTCTGAGTGTAATAAACATGCTTGCCAGTTACATTGTAGGAGAAAAAAGCAGTTACAGATTTCTTTGCTAAAGCGCAACTTAAATCTCATCTAGAAAGCTGCAAATAATTCAAGAAATCCATTTAGTATATATATAAGTATTTGAAATGCTGCAGGACTCATAAATTTGGCTAAAAAAGCCACTTCTCATTGGACCGGAATAGCAAGATATTTAATTGAAAATTTGAAGTCTCACAATAAGCTGGTACAAATTCTGATGAATTCTTGTTTTCCAGGGTAGTACTTTCTGTAAAATTTTTTAACAGCGGCACATGTTCCAAAATACCTTCATTTTATCATACACGTTCTGTATTTTTTATGTCTACCAGGTTTTTAGTAAATACTAATACTTCAAATACTAAAATTCCAGGAAAGTAACACTCTAGAGTTTATTTGCCATAATAATAAAATCACTTTTCATTAATTATTTGGCTGACAAGGAGGTGTTCAAGTCTGAGATCTTTTTCCTTAAGAGTAACAGATGTCCACACCTCTAAATACATTTGCTTGTTGTTTTTGCTCTGGAAATAGCAGGTTTGGAAAGAAATGGAATCTGTTTTTTGAATATGTGTTCCTTATAATTAAAAACCACTTATATATTGCTCATGCATTACTTTTAAATTAATATTGTGTGCCTCGATTTACCCAGAGCATCTGGAGTCAGCTGAATTAAATAGTAAAGTTATACAGAAAAATTGGAAATGCTCTTATCCTTAGCATTAGTTAAGGCACTGATCCTGCAAAAATTTTCCTTGTGTGTCCTGAGAAGTACCCTCTGTAAATATATCAGGGACCATTCCATCAGCATCCCTGAGGACTATTTACATGGGACCTAGCCTTTGATTTCAGAAATGTCTTTGATTACAATAGGACTTCTTGCCGTGAATCAGTGGAAGTCTTTGAAGTTTCAGAGTCAGATATGTCCTGGGCTGATCCTACTGTGCTTTCCCAGACAAAAACCTTCTCTGGAAGAATTCAGGTTTCCACTGAGTGTCTTACCTTGGGTAGGACTTTTCTAATATTTGTCTTATTTTGTTGGGATGGCAGGGCTGTCTTAAGAAAGTAATTCTGAGAAGCTAAAGTTTATCTTGTGTTTCAAAACTGTGAAAACCGGGGCTGAGATACTGCATTTTTCTAGTGATTAATAATAATAGACACCATTAGCTTAAAATACTGTGTAAATATCAGGTTTGATTTAGCATCTGTAAAATTAAAATGTGTCTCGGCTCTAAGTTAGTTTGAATCCTAATTCACTTTAATTACCCTTCCATACAAGTTGGATATTGTGGTGTATCACACATTCCATGGTGTAAAATGCGTGTAAAATATTGATGACCAGTATAGATTAGCTTCAACATTTTTATTAAACAATCCTGTGTTTCAGTATAATTAACATAAAAATTAAATAAATCATGGAAGCAAATAACCATTTTATATGATTTATGCAGTATGAGATTGTGACAGATGAGGGCAAGCTCTTTTAATGGAGAATGGGGAAAAATATGCAGTGATAAGTGAATGCTAATGCTGTACCTTAAAATCAGTAAATGCTGATGCAGCACAGTAATAACTCAAATGGATTTAGAATTGAAGCCCCAGAAAACTTGCATCAAATAAATCTGCTCTGAAAATAGTATTCACCATGTTCATACTTGCACACCATTAATTACATAATGTGTAATTATAAAACTCTATTAATCATCATGAGATTTTAAATTGAAACTTTTGTATATAGTATATATACAAAAATATATAGTTGTACCAGTTATAACAATTTAAGATGTATATATTGAAAAAAGAAATATTTAGCTGAGAGGTTGAATAGAAATTATTAAGCGTAAGAATTGAAAAGACTGAATAAGATTAAAAAGTAAAGGAAAAATCGACAAAAGCAAATAATTTAATATTACAAAATAAAAATTTAAATTCATATGCTAACTTTGATTAAAACCCCAATCTGTTGGAGCTGCAAATACCTCACTTTCAAAAACAAATTTAGAAAATAATTATCAAGGGAACCGCAATCATAATTCTGTCAAGCAACCAGGGAGAAAAATAAGAACGCATTTACTTCTCCTCAAGTTAAAATTGTAAACACCTGCTCTTTCTACTGGAATTTATATCAGAATTTCCATCTCTTTCTTTCTTGAAAGATACAACAAGGCAGAGACTTTGTCTTGTCTTGTGTTTTGTATAAGACTGTGTGTGTTGGCAACTCGCCATAAATATTGATGAGTGTAACAGAGGAGTTAACTGGATTTGGTCCAGCAGTCAAAGAATAAATCCTCCACTAAACACACTGGGGTTTTCAAAGATCTGATTATATCACCTTCAAATTCAGAACTTTGTTTTCCTGATGGGGTGTTTTTTAATCCTATTATAATATTTTATTGTATTATTGCAAAATCCCAACTCTTTAGAGTTCTGGCATCTTCTTTTTTGGTTGGTCTCACAAAATGACATATATAGGATACACCATTCCCCAGAGAGCAGGCAAATAATACTTATGCAGTCCAACTCATTTTTTGCTCACTCAAAATTTAGTTAGGGAAGGACTTTTTAAAGATAAATGTTAGTGTTCCCACTCTTCACCTCTTACAAAAAGAGGGGGATTGAATAAAATAGATCTACAAGGATGAGGCTTGGAAAAACAGCAGCCCTTTTGTAAACTACATTTAAACATTTCAAATACTGATTTTTCCATTACCATAAAAGTGATCATGAAATCCACTATAATGTTCCTTCTCATGCCATTCAAATGGTCTGTATTTTCATTTTTTTTACAACATGCCTGTTAATTTTTCTCCTAACAGATTGTTTCATTTGCTAAGCAAGCCTGTTTACTTTCTTCATATTTTCCTGTTAAGTGATATGAACCTTCCATAAAATGGGAGATATATATCTGCTTTTGTGGTTTTCTGTTATGTTTTCTATTTTAGCATATAAAATTAATTTCAAAAACTTGAATGTGAAGATTGCAATAAAATTTGTGACCCCTGATATACATGTACTAAGAAGGATACAATAATTACTGAGATTTATAAAGTAACCAGTGCATCCCAGAAAGGTGTTTTTTCTTCTTCACAGACAATGTGAATGATTCCACAATCTTAGAATAATTTTGAAACCGCACGTGCTGTGTTCAGTCCTTAAACCAGACGCTGAAATCAATGGAAATTTTGTCTGAGGCACAGAGGACTGTTCATATTTCTCCAGCCTCTCTATCCCAACTTTTAACACTGTTTTACAGATTATATGCTTCTTTAAAACCTGAATCATTAAGTAAATACATAAATTCAAAAGATTTATAGCCCATTGTGTTCACTAGAGAATGCTAACATGGTATAGAGCAAATTTTACAGCTACTTTGAGAAACCTATAGTACATCAATCCACACCAAATACCTGTAAAAATATATTTTTGTTACACACGAAAAAGAAAGGATTCCTTACTGCAATTAGACCCTGAGCATACATAGTAGCTCGTTTCTTAAATTAAACTAATTCAGTTTCTACAACCTTCCACTCACAGCTAACATATCATCAGCGAGGAATATGGAGTGCTAAGCTATAAAATGCCAGAAGCTGAGGAAGGGGTTTGAAGGATACATACAAAAAGGCCTCAGGATCATTAACTTCTCTCCTAAAGCTCAGGAATGAGCACAGTTTCTTTCTTTTCCACAGGATTTCAGATGTTGCTGTCTTAATTTTAACCGTACATGAGTTTCTTTGGCAGTGGTACAGTTTTAGTGTATAAACCCAGGCTTGTAATGAAAATATTGACACAGCCTTAGCTGAAGTGATGGAAAGAGCACTATTATCTTGCCTTGAACAGAGGGATGCTATTGCAGTGATAAAACTTGTTAAATTACAAGTAGACCCCACGCTTTTAATTATGGAATTGGATCAATACTGAGAAAAAATGAGAAGACCTTTGTGAAGCTTTTATTCAATGGCAACCCCAAGTCAATAAGGTGTTTTTTACTCTTCTGTATAACATTTAGAACAAACTGGATCAAGGAGGTCTCACTTAATTTTCAGCCAAAGTAGACATCACTTGGCATCTTGAAATTCTAAGACTTTTTTCCCCTTTATTAAAGTTTTATCACCCAGTGAGTGAACTGAATGAATTTCATGTGACCTAGTACAGTCAGGCATTAGAAATAATGATGAATTATGAAATAATTTTCTATGATCA